AGATATGTTTTGCCCTTGTTTCTCCCAGTTGGTAGCTTGTCTTTTCATGCTGTCAACAGATCTTTTCATGAAGCAGTTTTTTAATTTGATTGATTGATTGATTGATAAATTTTTTTAATGTTTATTTATTTTTGAGAGAGACAGAGACAGATCGCAAGCTGGGGAGGGGCAGAGAGAGAGAGGGAGACACAGAATCTGAAGCAGGCTCCAGGCTCCGAGCTGTCAGCACAGAGCCCGATATGGGGCTTGAACTCACGAACTGTGAGATCATGATCTGGGCCGAAGCTGGACACTCAACCGACTGAGCCACCCAGGCGGCCCAGAAGTTTTTTAATTTTAATGAGGTCCAACTTTTCAGGGTTTTTTTTCATGGATTGTGCTTTTATTTATTTATTTTTTTAATGTTTATTTTGAGAGAGAGAGCATGCACATGTGTGCACACGAGCAGGGAAGGGGCAGAGAGAGAATCCTAAACAGGCTCCGCACAGCGCAGAGCCCAATGCAGGGCTCAACCTCACGAACCATGAGATTGTGACTAGATCCTAAATCAAGAGGTGGATGCCTAACCAGCTGAGCAACCCAGGCACCCTAATGGATTGTGCTTTTAGTGTTGTATCTAAAAACTCATCCTCAAACCCAGGATCACCTAGATTTGTTTCTCCATGTTCTAGAAGTTATAAAGTTCGGCATTTTACATTTTAGGTCTATGATCCATTTTGAGTTAATTTTTGTGAACGATAGAAGGTCAGTGTCTGGAGTTCTTTCTCTCCATGTGGATGTCCAGTTCTTCCAGCACCACTTATTGAAATGACTGTCCATTTCTTCACTGAATAGCCTTTGGTCAGTTGACTGTATTTATGGGGCATGATTTCAGAGTCCTCTATTCTTTTCCAGTGATCTATTTGTTTAGTCATTTGCCAGTGTGACATTGTCTTGATTATTGTAGCTTCATAGTAAATCCGAAAGTCAGATAGTGTCAGTCCTCTGATCTTGTCCTTCTTCAGTATTGTGTTAGCTATTTTGGGTTTTTTGCCTTTCCATATAAACTATAGAGTAATTTTGTCTCTATACATAAAATAACTTGCTAGCATTTTGATAGAGATTGTCTGGTTTTGTCTGGGTAATGCTGGCCTCATCAAATAAGTAGAAAATGTTTTCTTCTGTTTTCTGAAACATTGTAGAATATTGATATAATTTCTTCTTAAATATTTGGTAGAATAAACCAATGAAAAACCATGTGGGCCTGGTGCCTTCTGTTTTGAAATGTTCTTAATTAAGGATTCAGTTTGGTTAAGAGACACAGGCCTTGTTTATCTATTTCCCCTTGTATGAGTTTTGGTAGGTAGTGTCTTTCAAGGCATTGATCCTTTACATCTAAGTTATCAAGAACTCTAACCGGAATTTTTATGTTCTTAGGATTTGGGGCATTTTTTGTTTCTAATGTTTGTTTATTTTTGAGAGACACAGAGCATGAACAGGGAAGGGGCAAAGAGAGAGGGAGACACAGAATCTGAAGCAGGCTCCACGCTCTGAGCTCTCAGCACAGAGACGGATGCAGGGCTGGAACTCACGAACCCTGAGATCATGACCTTAGCCAAAGTTGGAAACTTAACTGATTGAGCCACCCAGGCATCCCCGTTTTTTGTTTTTTTTGAAATCTTGTCCCTTATCATTTTTTTGTCTGCCCCAGTTTTTAATGCACTGTTTTCTCCAGTAGAATATTTTCTAGAACATTTCCTATGTTCATAGTCCATACTCAACAAATATTAGTTGGCTCAATCACCTCATGTTTTGGGGTAGTTCTAAGCAGTTTATAAAGCACTTTTGTGTTCTTTATCTCCTTTGATCTCTGTATACACTAAGCTGGGGAAGTAGTGATATCCCCATGTTTCTCAATAGGAATGTGCTACTCACATTAACTAACTTTCCTTAGTTTACTCACTTATTAGGTGGGCATAGCTAGAACATTAACTGAACTCCAAATTTTAGGCCTCCCATACCTAACGCCAGCCCACACCAACCCTGGTGTACTTCAGATCCACCTCCCTTTATCCGGCCCCTTGGAGAGAAGAGAGGGAGTGACAGTTATTTCGACGAGCAGTTGCTCACATAATTAGTTTTTCCAGAGGAGATGTTCTCATGATAAGAGGTTCTCAAAGATCTTCTTGACCTCTAAATGTTTATTCAAACTGATGCCTGGCACCTGAACTGTGCAGGCTTCTTCCATGAACATTAGATGGTAAGTTAGTGTTTTTAAGGGAACATGTTTATGTTACATATATTCTGTCTTCCCCGCTTGGTTTTATTGATCTTTACTCTATGGCAAAAAGTAATTCTTGTGTTCTGAGAAGCTGTTTATGACTGTCTTACTGAGGAAATTAAAGCAAACAAATGATTTATATGCTAACCTGCTGAGGGCATTATTCATATTTTAAAGTAATGCTTGATTAGTAACGATTTTAATTATAAAACAAACCACATACATGCTACAGTAGGTTCCAGAAAAAGCAAGATGGGGGAAAGTGGTCATCATGTCTTTTGCCAAAGAACTTTTTAAAAAATGAGTTGAAGAGAAACCTCAGTAGTTATTCGTTGCTAAAGAATCTAACTGACATCTTTGGGAAATAATTGGAAAAGCTAGTGGATTGTGTACATGCTGTGCTAGAAGCCTTGAGCTCCCTTTTGCATTCTATAATTTATATGTTGCCACAGCATGAGGTAATTTTCATGATTTTGCTTTTAAATTATGCATATTAAAGTGAAATGTACTGATACAAATATAGACATGACCTATAAAGATTTTTTCCTTTCCCCAGAATTTAACCTTTTAAAGACCTTTTTATTCTCCAAACCACCCTTGTCATAAACAAATGACAGAGCTTTTCTGTGCTAGAGCTTATTAGTGTGTTGGATGTATATAGTATGGTAGATACTGTAATACATATTTTTTGTAATAAAGTATTACACTGTCTCTTGATACTTTGAGAAATAGGTGTATTTATTAAGAGCTTGACCAAAAGCATAATTGAGTATAAGCTTAGAAGCATTAACATGTATCTATTTTTATGCAAAAAAAAAGAAAACAAAAAATTATCTGGTGAGTATATGGCCTGAGTTGTTTTCTAATAAAAGATTAATATCTTGTGCTGCTCTCACCCAACTGAAAGTACTGAAAAACAATCTTGGTTAGAAACTGTGCACACCCAGTCTTCAAGAGCCGTCATCGGAGCCTAGAAGAGAAAAGGAAGCAAATACTCAGACTATGTGGTATAAGAGCAGAAAAACAGTTTCTTCTCACATTTCTGAACCTCTCTCCAATGTTTTTCCTGTTTCACAGTCTTTTCTTTACATCTAAACTCCGAATTACTCTTAATGCACCAAGATTTTAACTGCCACTCTCTAAGAAGTAGCCAGAAATGTTACCTACATTTTCCAGCAAACATTAGCTTATTATTTAGTTTATCAGTCTATGTATCTACTTGGGAGACCAGTATAACATATTAATTAAAAACATGGTTTCTGAAGTACCTAGGTTCAAATCCCAGTTTATCTGTGTAATAGTTTTGTGATCTTGGAGAATTTTACTTAACCTTTCTGAGTTTGAATTTCTTCATTTATAAATGTTCTGGAAGGAGTGTAATGATATGGTACATATAAAAAGTACGGAGTACCGTGCTTGGCATGGGCTACCCACTTAAATAAATAGCTATATTCATCATTACTGTATGGTTGGGCTCCCCTGTTTGGCATGGGAGAATCATTTATGTCAGACATAATCCCATATTAGAAGTAATAGATTTGACATACTCATTTATTAGCAATGTTTTAATTATAATTCTGGGCCTAGCCAAAGGTGCGGTAAAATGATCACTCAAATAGGCCGATGGAGATAAAAGTTGCATAATACAACTTAGCGGTAGAGCAATTTGGCAGTATATAGCGATACCCATAAAAACCCTCTTTGAATCTGTAATCCCCTTTCTAGAAATCTCTAAAGAAAGAATGAGAGATTTAGACTAAAATTTACAGCCACCAGCATTTGACAATTGTGAGTGGGAGTTAGGAAGGGGGAGGCGAACTTACATGTCCAGCAGTAGAGAAGGGTTGAATGACAAGTGATATTTTTACATGATTCATATTCTGTAGCTGTTATGAAATATTTGATATGGGAAACTTCTCACAATATACTGTTATAAAAGTATGTAAAATGCTCAAATTTTGTACACTAAGAAATACATCTCTCCCTCTTGCCCTTTGTCTCCTTTCCCAGAAACAAGACTGGAAAAATGTGCATCAAAATATCAACAGTGTTTATCTCTGTGTGGCTGGATTTCCGTTTTTTGTGTCTATTTTTTGAATTGTTTTTATACATTTCAGTTTTTTTTCCAGATTGTACCTACTAAACATGTTACTTGGCATACCTCATAGGAAAAGCAGTGAAGGGGAGATTGGGTGTCTGAGTATGTGTTGTTGATCAGTCGTGACTTTATTGAAAAAAGCTTTAAAAAACTGAAAGTTGCCCCTTGGATCCAAAAATTAATCTCCTAAACTGAAACGATTTAGTTGGTGGGAGCCAGGAGGAGGCCAGGTGTGGGTCATAGAAGGGGCTGTTGGACAGATTCTGGCATTCAGGTGGACGTTGGTTTTAATGTAGCAGATAAATAAGAGCTCAAAGAGGCATGGGTGATGTTTAATATAAAGAAGGAGAGGAAGCTTCTTGCAGAAACAAAACCAGGGTGAACTTTAATTACACTTGCAAAAAGATTATTAGGTAAGGGGCTCATATCACTTAAATTTTATTTTATCTTTTTTTTTCAAAATATTTATGATGGACAGAGGGAGACTGATACACATTTCTAGTGGAAGGTTCATGAAAGAATAAATATTTTGTGACTGTAGAAAAGTACTTGAGTGTTTGGCTCTTTCTGATAACTTATATATTAAAGTGATTTTAAAATATCAAGAACAAAATTACACGTTTGCAACTTTTTTCTAATTAGGATCCAGTTTACGGAAAAGGAAAACTTGGAGAAATCCAGGGACTCATTCTGGGAATGTTGGATACCTTTAACTATGAACAAGTAAGCTTTCTATTTATGAGGCTGTCCTAAGGTAAAAAGAAGCTATTTCTTTTTTCTTTGCACCCATACTTTTATTTAAAAATTCCTATTTAATGGAAGTTTGGTAGATTGAAGTGTATGCTTTTTAAAAGCTTATAAATCTCTTGGCCTTAATTAATATGTGTATACACACACACAGATATTGTAGAATGTGGAAATGTATCAAATTTGGACTCATTTTATTCATTGGGAATGAAACAGTTCTTTTTTTCTAAGTGAAAAGTGTGAGAAATATTCTGGAAAATAATTGAATGGAAGAATGTAACCATGAAAAGGAAGAGTCAGCATGAGTATAGAAATTGCAAAATAAAATTAAATGAATTTTCTTTCAAACGTTCTGAAGCAGATGATTGCCACTAACCAAAAGTGGTCATTAGTCTTTGTTTAACTCAAAACTGCCTGTAGCATTGATTCTCAGTAGGAGCCACCATGGTATACAGATTTTTTTCTTAGTATACTTCAAAGTGATTCATGAAGCCACCTAAGAAAAGCACCATTTAGGTATGGTAGATACACTATCTGCTTCGTTAATAATCTGAGAGAAAAAAAGAAAAATTGGGGTGACAGAGCTTTTCTTAGGGTGATGAAGAACTACAGTTTTGCCAAGCATAGCCCAGTGAAACAGATACCCCTGCAGGCATGCACTCCGTGTTGGCAGAAGGGAAGCTGAGAACAAGGCAGGAAATGTTTGCAAACTTTGGAAGAGCAGGAAAAGATAGGGTTGATTGGAAAGAATTACAGTGGTAAGACTGTTAGACCTAAAAATTCTCCATTACAGGTAAAATTAAAGGACTAGGCTTATAGCAAGGAGGATGGGCAGTATGTCTTCCCCTTTGGGACTGACAGTAAAGAGCCCAGCTGCACATCTGAATGATAGATATGAATGTTGAGAATTAGATAGAGTATGTAAGCAACATAAGCACACAAAGTATTAAAATGACTTAATGTGATAGCTATGAAAATGTCTTTATGTGACTTACTGACAGATGTCACAGTCTTAAGTAGATTCAAATGACTTGTAAGTGCTGATCAGGAAAATGTGATCTTTCTGCCCAAGGGAGATGAAAACTGAGGAACGGCCATTAGCTTTTTCAGTGAAAGGTTATTTGAAATATTGCCATGGATGCAGTTTCTATAAAAAAAAAATCGGACAAAATTTTTTTTCTATAAAAAAAAAAATTGGGTTGTTTGTTGTAACACTTTGAGCCATTCAGAGGGAACTTATTAGAAAAACGTAATTAAAAAATAGGTTTGTATTTATCTAGTCATTCGAAAGCCATCAGTGCTGAGTTAAGCCACAGAATGGCAGAGCACACATTTCTCAGTAGAAACTAATGATAGCCTTTTAATAAATATTTTGAGACTCTCGATGTATGCCCTGGTCATTTCTTGCACATGAAAGTTAACCACTTAAATTTGGGAGTATTTGGGGTTTGTTTTTTATTAATGTTATGCCTTCATAGTATATTCTTTTTTTTTTTAAAAACATTTATTTATTTTTGAGACAGAGAGAGACAGAGCATGAACGGGGGAGGGTCAGAGACAGAGGGAGACAGAGAATCCAAAACAGGCTCCAGGCTCTGAGCTGTCAGCACAGAGCCTGACGCGGGGCTCGAACTCACAGACCGCGAGATCATGACCTGAGCTGAAGTCAGCCGCTTAACTGACTGAGCCACCCAGGTGCCCCAGATAGTATATTCTAATTTCAGTTGTTTGTGGTAAAAAACCAAACAAGTGTCTCTCCTCATTCACCTCCTCCCATCTCTTTCACTTAAAGAACCATTTTTGTGTGTTTGGTTTCTGTTTTGGTCTTTCCTAGACTCTGCTGGAAACAACTACTAGCCTTCTAAACCAAGATCTCCATTGGTCATTGTGTAACCTGAGAGCTTCAGTCACCAGAGGACTGAATCCCAAGCAGGATTACTGCTCTATATGTTTGCAGCAGTACAAGAGACGCCAAGAAATGGCGGATGAAATCATTGTCTTTAGGTAATCAAGGGAAGGAAATGTTACACATACAGTGTGCGACATGTATGGTATTACCAGGCAGGTATACATGTGGATACACAGCTCTAGTCAGTCTTTCTAGCAGTGAACAAAACAGGGCAAAGTTCCACCCTCATAGACCTTACATTCTGCTTAGGGTTTGGGAGAATATATGGGGTAAAGGCAATAAAAGATGGACTCTGGAACCACGCTTTTTGAGTTCCCATCCTGTTTCTGCCACTTGCTAGCTGTGAGACTTTGAACATGTTAATCTCTTTACATCTTAGTTTCCTTATCTGTAAATTGGGATAATAATGGTACCTTTTTCTTAGCTTATTGCAAATATTAAATGAGATAAATTACATAAGACACTTGTCATTGTGTTGACATAGCAAGAGCTATATAAGTGTTATAACTTCTATTAGTATAGACACAGGAAGATTAGCAGATTTGGTAGTTGGAAGGGGAAGAAGCTCTCATCACACAAAAAGCCCACGAAAGAGTGTTTGGTGGGGGAAGATATTTTATACAGAGTAGTCTTGGAAGGCATCACTGTTAAGGTGACTTAATAACAATTTAAAAATTAATAAAAATGTAATAATTACCATGAATAAAATAAAATATGGTGTAAAGGAATGTTGGGAGCTACTAATTTCTAAAGAGTAACTAGGGAAAGTCTCACTAGTTTAGTGACATTTGAGTAGAGACCTAAGGGAAGTGGCCGTGCAGTATCAGGGGGGGTGCCCCAGGCAGAGGATCAGCAAGGGCAGACACCTTGAGGCTAGAGCTTGGTCACATACTTGGAGAGTAATGAGTGAGTAGGCTTGTGCTGGCGAAGCAGAGTGAAGGAAAGGGAAGATGATAACAGTTGACTTCAGAAGAACAGAGGCCAAATTATATAGCAACTGGGTCATTATAAAGGGTTAAACTTTTACTCTGAGATGAGAAGCCATTGGATGGTTTTGAGGATAGGTTTGACGTCTGGCCTGTGTCTTAAGGATCTCTTTGCTATATTGAGAATGGACTACAGAAGTTCAAGGGTGAAAGCAGGGAAACCATTTAGGTTATTGCAGTAATCCAAGAGAGAGATGGCCCAAGGTGGTAGTAATGAAGTAAGAAGTGGTAGGATTCTGGACATATTTTAAAGGTAGAGCTGGTAAGATTTGTTCATAGATTGCATGTGAGGTGTGAAAGAAAGAGAATAGTGAAGGATGATGCCAAACTTTTTGGCCTGAGAAACTGGAAGAATGTAGTTGTTGAGGTGGGAAAGGTTGGATGAGAGCAATGCGGTTGGGGTAGAGCAGAGTGAAATCAAGAATTTGGTTTGACACATGTTAGAGTTAAGATGCCTATAAGATATCCCATCCACACATAGGTGGCATTTTAAAGCTGTGGACCTGGAGTAATCACTGAAAGAGCAAACGTAGCTCTAGAAGAAAAAAAGTAGAGAAAGACTATAAAGACTATAGAAAAGAATTGACTTCTGAGGTAGTCCAACATTTCAGGCTGGAGAGTTGAGGAGCAATCAGTAAAGATGACAGAGAATTATACTCAACACTCACTTTAGGGAGGCTCACTTAGCAATCAGCAGGGAGTTTCTTCTTAGGAATAGTGTAAGAATTACTGCAGCCCTGACAGTTTTGTATTAATCAAATCACAACTGTTGCCTTGGATTTGATGAGGCAGACCACTCATGTTGTTACCAAGCTACTTAAATCATTAGGGCTTTCCCCAATTGCATTTTTTTCATACTTGCTAAAAACATTTCATAGTTTGAGAAATGAACAGAAGTTCAAGTCATCTCCCACGTGGTTTGTAGTCAAGAGAATTGTGATTCTGTGCCTGCTCCCAATGTAGGTGTGCAAATACGTGAGTCTGGGTTTTAAAAAAGGACGGCAACAAGTAAATTTCCTTTCTTCTTAACTATACAACAGTCAGTGTATTACAACTTACCAGAAGTCTTTGCCACTTATAAATACACTCTAGCATAGCTTATGTTTGGAGATTTTATGTTAAAGAAAAGTGCAAATTGGTTGCCTTTATTTTGCAGCTGTGGCCATTTGTATCACTCATTCTGTCTGCAAAACAAAGAGTGCACCATAGAAACTGAGGGGCGGACAAGATGGACATGCTACAAATGCAGCTCAAGTAACAAAGTAGGGAAATTAAGTGAAAATTCATCTGAAATTAAAAAGGGGAAGACAGCCCCGTCACAGGTAAGACTTGTTTTCATGGCAAGACGGAGATAGTCTTTTCTTACCAGGGTCTTTCGGGCCTGGCCTCGTTTTTCTTGTAGACCTCAGCGACTTTACCTCATTGGTATCTAGTGCATGACGCCTTCTGTTCAGTTCTGTTTAGTATTTGAAGAACTTCTCCTCCTTGCCCTACACTGAAAATAGGGATATAAGACATTTTAAAGGCAGAAGACATTTTCTTCTCTGAAAAAGTTTAAGATCTACTTGAAGGTGGGGGGCGGGAGGGGGATGTACATACATGAGCCTCCTGAAGCCTTTGACAAAGTAAGAGGTGTAAGCAAGTACTGATGGCTACCTGTGTGCTCGAGAGCAGAGCTGTCCCTCTTCAGTGGGACCAGTGGACAAGCTAAGTGCACATGTGCTCTGTGCGTGGCTCTCTCAGCTGGGTAACTTTCTTCAAAGAACTTGATGCAGTAGTGTTCATTTGAGAATTTGTCATTGCCTTTGGAGTTCGACTCATGGACTAGATACACTTTTATTCATTTGACAGCCTTTCTTTTTTCCTTCTTAAGCAGGCAGTGGTACATTTGAACTCTGCTGCTTAATAACTTTTGGGAGAACAGAACTTGACAACACGCGGGGCCCAGTGTGGAGGAGGAGCCGCTGCTAGGACCAGCACTTGATCATTATTCTATTCTCAATTTATTTCCTCTTCGGAGTGAGAAGAGGTGTCACGGTTGCCATTTCTTGCTCCTTCCTCTGTGCCCCCACCTTGTAGTTGGCCTTAACATCACTTAGTGAAAAGTGGAACCTGTTGATCTTCTGTCCTTGTTCTGTCAGCTTTCAGTGCTGCGTCAGAGGTAGACCCAGAAAAAAACTTTGACCTAGTTTCTCCCAGATAACAGTTCAGAATTTTTATACTCTGGTGGTAGACGTTCATTTATATTCGTCAAGTATGTACAAAACAGCGTGCCAGGCACTGTGCTAAATGCTGGGGGTATAGTAGTAGACACGAATTTGTCTCATGGAGTACACAACCAATGAAGTGACAAACAGACTTTGAATAAGTATTCTCAAGTTCTTTCTGGCGCCAAAAGCGTGGTATCTTTTCCAACACCAGGTCTGACACTAATTCTGTCAGTACTCTGAACACCAGCTGGGTGTCCAGTAATTCAATTCTGACACTGACTATCAGGAGTTAGCGTCAGATTCCACAGGTTCAAGGGCTCATTCACCTGAGCCTACCCTTACTTCAAACATCAGTTGCAAATGGAATGTCCAGTTACCTACCCTTCTGTCTGACTTGGCAGAGTCAGAGGTTCCCGTGATCAATCCCCCTGCAGTTTGACAATGCACCAGGAGCAACTCCTGGAACTTTATATTTGCCTGTTTAGAAGAGGATCCAACTCAGGAACAGACATGGGAAAAAATGAGCAGGGCAAGGTATGGAGGGAGAAGGGTGCTTCCTTGTCCTCTCCCAGCACACTACCTTTCCAGTACCTCAGTGTGTTCACCAACTCAGAAGCTCCTTGAACCTGGCTGCTTCAGGGCTTCTGTGGCAGTCTCATTATGTAACCATGACTGATTGAATCATTGGCCATTGGTGATTATACTCCATCTCTAGCCCTTCTCCCTTCCCTAGAAGTTGGGGATGAAGGGCAAGCAGGGGAGGGTAGAGCCTCTAAGCATGACCTGATCTTTGTAATGACCAGCCCCCAACTTGAAGCAATCTAGGCATCCACAGCTACCAGTCGTCTCATTAGTATACAGAAGGCACTCTTACCACTCAGGAGATTCCAAGAGTTTAAGGAGCTATGTACCAGAAACCAGGGACAAAGACCAAATATTTATTTTTATTGTGCCACAAGTACTTGGAGATGAACTATGCTGTAAGAGCAGGCAATGAGTGGACTTAGTCGACATGAAAAACCATGGAAGGCTTCCTGGAAGTGCCATGTTAGCTTCCCCTGAAGGAAAAGAGACATGAGCTAGACAAGTTTAGGTGCAATGGTGGGTAGAAAGACGGATACTCTAGACTGAGGGAACCATATATATAGAACAGACATAACCTCTCTGCTGTGAAGCTAGACATTGAGCATGACTGGATCAAGAATATGAGAAAATGAGTGGTATGAGGTGAGGCTGCTGTAGTAAACAGGGACCATATTAATTACTTTGATGTTTGTGCTAAAGAAAGTGTATTAAGGGGTTTTAAGGAAGGAATAATACCTGATCAGAATAGCATTTTTTTTTTCAGAGCGATATTTTTAGAGCACTCTAACTGCAGTGTAGAAAATGAAAGGAAAATAAGAACAGATGTAGGGAGACCCAAGAACACTGAAGTAATTTGGAGGAAAGAAGTGGTAACTTATACTAGAATGATAGAAGTTGGGATGGAGAAACTAGTACCTATTTGAGATGTGCTTGAGATGCGCAGAGACACCAGAACAGTTAACATGGTCCTTGCTTACCTCACCAGCTGCATCTCAGACCACTCTCTTTCACCCTGTCATCCAGTCACGTTCAACTTCCAGTTCCATGATCTTTTCTGGTTTATAGCAGAGATGCTATATTTGAGGGATAGAATTATCAGCAGTTGGTGATAAAACTGTTGGATGGAGCACGTAAGACAGAGGGAGGAGTCAAAATTAGTACCCAGATTTCTTACTTGAACAACCGGTGGATGATGGTACCATTTACTGAGGTAGAAAGCAATAAACAAAGAACATACTTGGGAATAAGAGAAGTCATTGTTGAATTTAGAGACTTTGGCAGGACATTACAGGTAAAGATGTTCAGTATGGTTTCCAGATTGAAAATTTCATTAACTAGTCATCTAAAATGCTTCCTTGTTTGCATTTAGGGAAGGAAAGACAGATCTTATGATTTCCACCCTGTTTCCAAGCTGCATCCAAATGCAGATGAGGGAACCTTTTTTATGCAAAGACTTAAGTCACATCTTGGGGCACTTCAGTTTTTTTCCTCTTTCAGTTTTGTCCTGCTCGTAAACCAACTTGTGATTGTATGCATATAACTGCTTGGATATTACCAACTAATGTCTTTCTTTCTAGATAGTCCTCAGCTAAAATAGACCATTTTTTCCTTTTTTAAAAAATAGTTATGTTTTATGCTATTATTACGTGTTTTAATGCATAATTTACAAGCAGTAAATTTACCTTTTGTGAGTTTTGACAGCCACCTTTTTTTTTTCTTTAGCTATTTTTTTGTATTTTTTTTAATATATGAAATTTATTGTCAAATTGGCTTCCATACAACACCCATTGCTCACCCCAAAAGATGCCCTCTTCAATACCCATCACCTCCCCTCCCCTCCCCTCCCTCCCACCCCACATCAACCCTCAGTTTGTTCTTAGTTTTTAAGAGTCTCTTATGCTTTGGCTCTCTCCCACTCTAACTTCTTTT